GGGTTGTGATCTCTCGATGAGGAAGGTGTCGGAAGTCTCGAGGGATTTTAGAATCTCGCGAGTACAGCGAGGCGCAGCGAGGAAGCCGTGCCGTGGCCGAGACTCTCCTGGTGTGAAAAAGACCGCTTTGAAGTTCGCGAGTGAGCCGCTCCGCTGCTGTTCTGTTCCGCTGATGCTTGCGGTGTGAAACCAGGGTTAGTGTGAGTGAGTGTCTGAGTGGTCATTTGCTCCTGCGATGGACTTGAGACCTGTCGAAGGTGTCCCCTGTCTCTCACCTGAGACCCTGATGAGGATGAAGAAGTATAGAAGATGGCTGAGTACCTGACTGGTCACAAACCTTTCTTATTATCATGGCTCGAGTCAGTCTGGGTAAAACTAAACACTCCTGTCAAAGTTCACCTTCTCCTCTCCTCCACTCCTCTCCAATGCCGGTTTCTAGGCCACCCTCACTCGTTATGCCTCTCACACACTTCCCTAATCGCTTGTCATTTCTGCCGTCAAGGTTATCAGGGCAGTGTCAACAACAAAGAGCGGTGCTGATGAAATCTCACACAAAGAGACACTCATTCATCTGAGTTGTTGTGGTAACAGAAGAAAGTCAGCCACGGTCTGATAAGAGTGAAGAGACTCCACCGACAGATGCTGTCGGCGTGACAACATCAACACAGTCCTGGCGTTGGACCAAATCAATAAATTCGCACTAACAAGCAAATGTTTAGTGGTAAAAGTAGAGCAAACAAATGAAGGAAATGGCAACAATAACAGCTAGTTGCTGCAAGTTTACCAGCTGTGATCTTAGGCGCAGATGTTGCTGCTGTGAGAGAAACATCTGGCTTCATCTGGGCTGCTGCTCTCAGCGCACAGTAGGAGCTGCCAGCAAACGACTTCTCTTTCTTACACACAAATACTGAAATTGCGCTTCTCTGGACACAAAATCGTATCAGATGTTTACTCTAGATGAAATGTTGCCCAACGGTCGTCTGCAGCAATAATCCTTTACACCCACAAGTACACCTGCTGATTAAAGGACACACACCAACTGTCTGATGTCTGCACACATCTGCAGGAAACCGGGATGGAGATGGCACCGACGTGTGTTTTCACGTCTGTCCATCTGTGTGTGTTGGTGGTGAGAGTTTACACACCAGAGTCACAGGAATCCAAACTCTTGATTGCTGGGATCAAACATAAATCACCACTTTTGTTTGTTTTCATGACCCATGGCTTTAAAAAAAGTCCTAACCACACATCAGAACACACAAGGACTTCTGCTTCCAAAGTGCTTTACATTATAATAAATAGCTGTGTTTCCACAATTGTTCTGGGAAATTTCTGGGATGGGAGAAGGTAACGGGAAAATACAACGGCTCGGTCCTCTCAGCCACTGCAACCATACAAAATCACACCTTTCAGGACTTTGTGAAGACCTCAGCATTGGCCGTTTAGAAAAATGTCATTTAGAGCAGTGTGAACTCGGCTTACTTTCTATTCCATCCATAAGCAAATCTACTAATTTTACAAATGCCGGTTGTTTGACGCTGTCTACCGATATCATGTCCTACTGGTTACAACTAATCAGCATGAGTTAACGACAAGTCCCGCCCAGCAGCCCTAGTGAGCCACGTCTGTGTACATAACACAATACAGGTACTTTGTCCCTGAAATGGCCAGGAAAGTGGTCCTTTCGAGCAGGCCCGGTGAAATTGAGACATGCCGTGAAGGTCTGGCAAAATTATCCAGCAGTTCAAAAGTGGAAATGGACCTAAAAACACACACATTGATGCTGATGAGCTAGTGTAGCCACAGCTGCCCCGGTGCACACTCACAGAAGCAAGGCTGTCATGCACAGGTGCCACCAGTCACTCTGACCACCACCAGCTGGTAACGAAGGTGAAGTGTCTTGCCCAACCTGCAGGTTACAGGGCAAACTCCTAAACCCTGAGCCACCGTCGCCTCTGTGAGGTCAACCTCCACAGCATTTAGTGATCTGTTCACATCATAGGAGCAGACTCCATACAATTCTCTGCTGTTCTATAACGTTTTCATTTTCACGTCAGACAAAATTAATTCTATTTTTCAATTAGGGCAGCACAATATATCGCAAATATGTCATTATCACAATATCAGCATGCACAATATGCATATCGCAAAGAACAGATAAATATCATAATGAATGGTCAGCTCAAATGTTTGCTACACATGATGCAATCTGTCAATCAAACAGAAGCATAATGTTTTTTAACTAATCAAATACAGCTCTTCACCCATTTGGCCAATTGGGTGGGTTCTCATAGGTCAAATGCCCGCCCCCGAGGCGGACGGTACACCTGAGTTAGCTTTGATCTGCTCTTTCTGCTGATTCTGCTTTTCTCTGGATACACTGATTGCCTTTTCTCGTTCATTTTCTTTTTCCCTTTCCTCACATCTTTTGCTTTTCTCATTTTTATGATTTTTTTTCTCATTTTTTAAATTTCTTTGTTTTTGATTATTTTTGTTCCTGAGTTAAGTTTTTCTTTATCGCAAGTAAAACTGTCATCGCAATATTAGTCGCTGTTATCGCATATCGTAGGTTTTCCTAATATTGTGCAGCTCTATTTCAATGCTACATATCCACACCCTAAACCTAAAGCCAATATAGTTAATGACAGTAGGTGCACGGGGAGCGCCGCACCGCACCGCACCGCGTCCCAGAAGCGCCGAGGCGCTGAAGATAGGCGCCGCGGCTGTTTACAACATTGTGGAGTTCTTAACAAACAGACATTACGATGTGGAACGGCTTTACGGCTCAAACTCAAACGCCGGCACAAACCCAGCCACCGTTTTGATAACTTTAAAGTACTATTGATCTTAAAATATTCAAATAAATAGCGTACTTACCGATTTTTAATGAATTAGAGTCGCACAAAACATAACAGCAAGTCACTTCCCGCTTTCAGTTATCAAGTCCTGCGTGATGTTGTGACTATTGCGCCACTTTCCAATAATCTCTCAGCGGCGTGTCGCTTCCTGTGTGATCACTTGACTTCTCAAAACCTCAGGTGCCTTGCTGTGTGATGCATCCGCCTTCGGTGTGCCTTGTGCTAAACAGTCTGTATTTCTTTTCTTGAATCATTACTTAAAAAATGTAGTTGCCAAATTCTGTCAAGCAAATTTGATGCATTTTTAATCCTTTCTTCCTTGAGTTGACAGTTTCTCTCAGATGAACCAAGTCCAGACAGACAGGGGTGTCCGGATGTGCAGGAATGTTTTCCAGGAGGATACCAAGGTTAGGGTTGGGCATCGAGCATCGATTGGAACCGGTTCCAACTGTTCATTTTCCCCGGAATCGCTCAACGTTTTTTATTTCGATTCCTAGAATGCCGACCGGAAGGGGAATCCGCGGCCGATCTCTGTGAAAAATAAACGTGATCTGCAAATTGTGGTCAACAGTTTTCAGAGCTGATCACACCAGCTGTCTGTGTGCAGCACTGAGTCCCGCCTCTCCCCACCCAGATATAAACAAACGCGTCTGCCGAACGTTTACTCCATGATGTAAACTTTAACTCCTGCAGCGTGGAGGAAACTTGTTAAAATACGTCAACACGGTGGATTTAATAGAAGCTTTGAAGAACAAACTCTGGACGGTGTGAGGTGAGTTTGTCTCACTGCAGAAATAAAAACACACACGGAGCGTCAGCAGTCAGACGCAGCCGCTCACCAACACTCGTGTGTGTGTGTGTGTGTGTGTGTGTGTGTGTGTGTGTGTGTGTGTGTGTGTGTGTGTGTGAGAGAGAGAGAGAGTCAGAAGGCTGAACAATAACCTGTAGAATAATTAAAGTCATCATGCTAGAGCAGCTTCTCTGTGGTGGACCACAGCAGTTTCTGCCACAATAAATAATAATAATAATAATAATAATAATAAATCACACACAAAGTTGTGAACATTTTAATTTCCTTTCTGAACTACTTCTGTTGAGTTTTAATGTTTAAAATATGTTAGATTGTTACTGACAGCAGCTACGTTTAAGTTTCTGTTCTGACTGAACGCTGCTGCAGCATGGAGGTGTAGTTCTCAGTCATCCTGGACATGATCATCCTGAGAGTTTTAGCTGAAACCAGCTGCACGTTTCTGGATGTGTTGGAGACATTTAGCCTCTCATCCCAGAGGCTTCTTCCACACTTTGGTTGTGGTCAGAAACAAACACACTGGTTGTGCTGCAAGTCTTTTTCTTTTTTTCTCCAAAACATGTTTTTGTCTAAATGAAGGTGTTGTTGTTGTTCATAGAATTAAAATTCATGTTGAAGTTAAGATTATTTCATCAAGTAGGACCTGTGGTGAGCTGGCTCATGCAAAACATGTCATGTCTTCAAAGAATCGGAATCGGTAGGAACTGGAATCGAAATGAGGAATTGGAATCGGAATCGTTCAAAATCAAACGATGCCCAACCCTAAAAGGTACTCCCAAGCCAGAGAGGTTCCTACAGTAAGTTTTGGGTCTGCCCTGGGGTCTCCAACCAGTTGGACATGATTAGAAAACCTCCAGAGGGAGGCATGCTTGTCAGGTGCTCAAACCACCTCAACTGATCCTTTTGATGAAGACGAGCAGTCTCTTAACGGAGGAGGGAGCTCCTCAGCTGATCTCCAACTCTGAGGCCAGCCACCCAACGTGGAGGAAGATCATTTCAGCCACTTTTGTCCAGGATCTTGTTGCTTTGGTCCCAATCATCACTGATCGTGATTCTGATAGAAGTAACTGGAAATGTTTCAGTCTGCTCAACTTTGATTCAAAAACAACTTTTCGAATCCAATTTGCTAAATGATGCATCTAAAATACTGTAGTCAGGTAACATTTGTTGTGAGTTCTGGACCAGTTTGGCCTACTTTCTGTCCCCACGCTTACACAGACATCTCTAATTCAACTTCTAGATTAACTTTGTCCTCTTAAACTTCCAAAACTTCCCAAAACACCAGCAGTAATCTGATCTGGTATAAAAGCAAAGCCAAAGGATCCTGCACAAACCTTGTTTTAAGGTTGGCCTTCGCTGACCCTGATTGGACTCTCAGCAGCATCCGTCTTTGCCCAGTTCAGAGACATGTAACTGTCCATATTCTGGTTACAGCAGACACTTCGCCTTTGAAACTTGGTTTGGTCCGATAGCTCCAATACGGAATTTCGTGTGAAAGAAGAAAACGTCTTCTTTTGTATTTGGTTCCCATTCAGTTTTCAGTCCAAAGTATGTTGTTTTTGTCGTGTTTTCAGAGCCGAGGCAGGGCTTGTCCCCGTCCACCACCTCCATGCCTGGACGTCTCTTGATTTCCTCTGGCGCTGCAGCCCTAAACCAGACAGACAAAAGAGAGGAAACCCTGCCAAGTCTCTCCACTGCAGGCATGGGTTTTTTCCTTTCCCCTCTTCTCCCTCGCGCTTTCTTCATCTCTCTCGATTGTGGCAGGGTTCCCGAGAAGATTTGGCGATCCTCCAGCAAGTCTGCCGTTCCATCTGAACCTTCCCATTCGTACCGATCATGCTTTCGCTCTGGACCCCCGCCCTCCTAACCCCTTCACTCCCACATCCTCCTACCCCGGTCCAACCCCTTCCAACAGAGCCAAAACATTAAACACACAACACTTAAGTTCAAACAAAACCTTAAACTATTCACTTGCTCCATTTCTTTCTGTAACTCTGACCTGAGGTCTATATGCAACACCTGACAACCACGGCACTCACCACTGGTTACTAAAGGCCAGTATAAAGGGCAGTGAGGGTGTGTGTGTGTGTGTGTGTGTGTGTGTGTGTGTGTGTGTGTGTGTGTGTGTGTGTGTGTGTGTGTGTGTGTGTGTGTGTGTGTGTGTGTAGTGTGTGTGTAGTGTGTCCGGAGCCCTTTATCCAGTGCCAGTGCAGAGCTATTCATCATGTGCCAAGACTCAGCACCCTCACTTGTAGTGAAGAGGGGGTCGGTTGGTGCCAACTGCCCTCAGAGCCAACTGTGGCCTGTTTGTACACATAGAAAACTCTCAGTCCAACAAACACACATGCAGATGTTTTCTGTGACAATATTAACCTTTAAATGTCTGCTTGTCTCATTTCTGGTGTATAAGTGACTGATCAGGGCCTAAAACTGTGTAAGTATGGGTGTGTTGGTTTTTAAAGTAAAAAGAAGTAGAAACTTGCAAAAAATACTAAGCTACTTAGTTTTTTTATTTGAAGATAAGTCTTTGTTGTTTTCCTTACAGATTTATTTAAAAATATCTCATGACAGCAAAGGTAACTTTAAAATTAATGTTATCGTGGCTGTCACAATAAAAAGTATCCTGCCTGTATATTTAATAATAAACGGGGACGTTACGATTACATTTTTTTACTCCCGATTTAAGTGAGTCTTTGATTTTAAATATCTGCCGATACTGAGTCCTGATCCAAAACTTCAACAATGGATTAGTATAAGAAAAAAGGACATACATCCAAATTTATCCATTTATTTATTTCTGTATTTATCTAATTTCCTTCATTTATCTGCCAAAAAACCAACACTCGTTCAGGAGGCTCATTGATAAGAAATGTGTTATTTTTATGAATATATTTATACGTAGCCACGTCACTCCTATTTTCAATAGTTTACATCCTCATTGTGCGGTTGTATAGCTATGCACGTTCATGTGACAGGGCAGGCATACGGCACCACGCCCGGCAGCCTCACTTTTCTGTGCACAACACCCAAAGATGCCACAGCAGCGCAGCTCTAGCAGCCCGTAAAACCCAACGATTTGCTGTCCATCTGCAATTTCTCGTTATTAGCATATCTTTCAATGGCAGCTGGCTCAGTGTTTATGTCCAAGTTGCCGCAGTGAACTGGGAGTATTAGTTTAAAAGTAGGACTAATGGAGACAGGTGATTCACTGTGGGCCCTACGCCTGAAGGGAAAAGCAGAAAGAGAAAGAATGTGATTGGAAGGCAGTGAATCAGATTCATAGTGTTGAACACAGCTCTGTCTTTTCCACCATGTTAAATACCCCATTTGCAGAGATTGCAAGTCACTGTTACACTCCCTTAGCTGTCTTGTTCAAAATACATTCAAACTGCAGACATTTTCCCTCTCCTGAGGAAACAGAGTGTTTCTCAATGCCAAGGAACCTCGCCTTGATGTCTTGGCCCCGCCACGGTTGCCTAGGAGATACGTAAACAGGAACCGCCAAGGCATGTTCCAATGTTCATGTTCTACCGAGACGTGTGTTCTCCGTTTGTTAGCCATTTAGCTAGCTGAGCAAGGATACATGGGAGGAGTCTTGTAGCCTAGCCATGGTCAAAAATTTCACCGAATACACCGCGGTATTTTCAAAAGGATGGCGGATCAGAAGCCGGCAGCTATTTCGAGCGCACATTTCAAGTTTAAAAGTAAGACAACTAATTTAAAATATTTTTTTAGATCCAAAGAAGTTATCTATGGTTGGTTAGTAGCTCAGTAGTTGCGGCTTCGGTGGCTAGCGGGTAGTAACTCACTTATAGTTTTTAATTTAATAAACATATACACAATTTAAAAAGTAAAAGTCTCGTTATATATGTAAATTGAAACTAATACGTATAAAATATAACGTTATCTCCCATGTCACGTGACCGCAGTGGAAGCCGCGGTCACATGATGCAAGCCTGTTCCATTTAACCGTTTTCCTTGACCAAGGACGGACAGTGTCCTCGCAAGGCCAGGCGCCTTGACATTGAGAAACACCCACAGTTCTGCATCAGCCTGCTAGCTAACAGCTACATGTTGTGGTGTCTGAAACCCTGCCTGCCTTAAATTGTGTGGCATTACGACAATTTTGTCTACAAAAAATGTTGATGTAGAGCAGTGGTTCCCAAACTTATTTAGCCGCGCACCCCCTTCTATGTCCCGACCATGTCGACGCACGCCCCCCCAGCCCCCACATCAGGGCATGGCTCTATATGTATATATATATATATATATATATATATATATATATATATATATATATATATATATATATATTGGGGCTGGGACTTGATTTAAAAAATTAATCTAATTAATTACAGGCTTTGTAATTAATTAATCTCGATTAATCGCATTTTAATCGTTCAGGAAAATGCGCTCTTAAAAGTAAAACTTTTAATTAAAATTATGAGACAGAGAATCAAACATTAGACATGGTTATTACTGTAAACTAAAGCTTTTAATTAAAAAAATGCATTTTAGTTATTCACATGTCACTGTGTGATATGAAACAAAACCCAAATCAACTAAAATTTATAATTACAAATAGAAAACACCTGCAAATGGTTCCTGAGCCTTTAAATAGTCTCTCTGTCTAGTTGAATGACTGAAATTAATTTGACTTTGCACCAGATTCTAATTTTTCCAGTTTCACTTGTTTGTATAATTGGGAGATTTTATTAGCATTTCTACTCATAATGTAGTAAAAACACATAAATAATAATCCTTCAAAATGACAGTAGAACAGGCACAGATATGATCTAGTACTTAAATGTACTAACTTTTAACACCAGAGCAGGCGTGGCATATTCTGAGAATGATCAGGAACACTAACTGGTTCCAGTTGGATGACTGGAGGTTGATGGGATGATAAAAGATCATGGCGAGGAAATAATGATCTGACGAACAGGTGAGCGGACCTTCCTTACATGGGAAGTTCTGCTGTCACGTTAATAAGGGGATGCTGCCGACCCGCAGATTCACGCCTGCAGCAGCGAATCTGGTGTGATCTCCAGCCTGAACACAACTTCCTCGTTCCTCGCTGCCCCTGATAGTAATGCATGTGATGTTTAGACAGCGACTCGTCTCAGAAACATAGAATTCCCCGACAGAATTGTTTAGAAAATCATCAGAAAAGTTTCAGAGTATTTCTGTTTTAACTTAAACTTCTGTTTTCAACTTTAAGACACGTTGTTTGTGATTGTTTAGAGTAGTGAGAACACGGAGCGTTCTCCCAGCGGCAGCCAGGTGCCTCTCGTTTGTCCTCCTACTTTCATAAACTACTGTTAGGGCACAGAATTATTGTCTGGTGCTTTCAGCGCTGCACAGATGTTACGTAAGTGTTAAAAATATAGCTTACCGCAACTTTTGTAAAGTTTCCGGTGCCACCGGGTGGGCAGCCGCAGCAGAGATGATCTCTGAAAAATGTCCGCGACACGGACTCCGTTGTTGTCTGGAAGTTTTTATTTTCCAAGTTAAGAAAAGAGGCGGATGTGTTTCCTAAATCCTGCATCAGTCCAAGCAAGGCAACTTCTTTCTGTTTTTAATTCATTTTAGTAGCCATTAGCCACTGTGCATTGTTGTGTGCGTCAGTGATATTCGGTCTACGAGGAAAACGTGCAATGACAAAGGTTCCGCCGTGCTTGAAATGCAAGCTGCGATTAAATGCGTTAATTTTTTTTAACGCGTTATTTTTTTCTAATTAATTAATCGGAATTAACGCGTTAAAGTCCCGGCCCTAACATATATATATATATATATATATATATATATATATATATATATATATATATATATATATATATATATATATATATCAGATGTCAAGCTAAACAGACAGGGTTAAAAAAATTCCCCATCACTTTCATTTTTTAAATAGTAATTAATAAACATTCGATACCATTACAATTTCCTTTGATTTAATTTTAAATAAATATTTTGAGTGCCCAGGTAGCACATAAACAATGCAATTTAACAGTTTTCTTAAAGTAGAAACGTTTAACCTGTGCGGCCAGAGCGCTCTCCTTCCTTCTGCTCTGCGTAAACCTGAGCTGATCACCTACTTGTGCGTAATCAAATGTCTATAGGGGACAAGATATAGCCATGATGTTCACTTTTACCTCAGACCGACTTATTGCTGTTTTATGGTGTGGCTGAATCTGCGATCCGCTGCCACGTTCATGAGGAGTCACTGGCTGTAGCGGACCCGACTCATCCCAGAAGCTAATATCTTAATTTGACCTTGAATGAAAAATGTTGTTATAAAACCTCTTAAAAGTTTTTATCACGGTGGAGGCAGCGTTCATTTCTGCCTTCAGTCTGACAGCACGCCGGAGTTAAAGCAGCGTGCGCGCTTATTGAATCTGTGTGTGTGTGCGCACGCGGCACAGCCGCTCAAGTCACCGCGTCTCGTTTTTGGCGCTATTTAAACCAATGTTGTAAAATTACTTCTGCCCAGCCCAGATGTGCTCACTTGTGCACCCGTGAGCCGTGGTTCAGCTGACCTCTGACAGACGCACTCTGAACTTCAGATCTTCAGCACGCTGTCAATAGCCTGAATGGGAATAATTTCTTGTTATTTTGTTACATCCACAATGTTCTGTGTGTGAGGTTTACAATGTCAGAACACCTGCATGAGACAGGGGTTAATTACAATCTGCCAGAATGACTCGCCACCTTCAGATTTCTCCAACACCGTTAAAAATGATCAAATACGGAACATATCGGCTTGCGCAGGCCAGCGTGCTGAAGCTCGGCGCATTGTTATTATGAAGT